TGGACCCTTGTGGACCTGTGTGGACCCCTGTGGACTTGTGTGAACTTGTGTGGACCCTGTGGACCCTTGTGGACCTGTGTGGACCCCTGTGGACTTGTGTGAACTTGTGTGGACCCTGTGGACCCTTGTGGACCTGTGTGGACCCCTGTGGACTTGTGTGAACTTGTGTGGACCCTGTGGACCCTTGTGGACCTGTGTGGACCCCTGTGGACCTGTCTTCTTTTTGTCAGGTGTCACACTTTCTGGAGGTAAAGGACCAGACCTTCTGCAGCGCCTCCTGCTGGTTGGGGGTGAGTGGTGGCAGGCCCAGTTTGGTGGTGGTCAGAGTCGTGCTGCTGGTGCTGCTGGTCTGTCCGTTCTCCATGATGGGAGCCGGTCCTCCCTGAGAACAAATCAAATACACCCTCAGGAGTTATAATCAATCAATCAATTTATTAACACATTACTAAATAATACATTAGCTCATGAAAACACTGATCAGATCGATCCAGGTGATCAGATTAGACCAGAGGACTGATCAGATCGATCCAGGTGATCAGATTAGACCAGAGGACTGATCAGATCGATNGGTGATCAGATTAGACCAGAGGACTGATCAGATCGATCCAGGTGATCAGATTAGACCAGAGGACTGATCAGATCGATCCAGGTGATCGGGTCCTAGTGAAACAGAAAGTCTGATCATGAACCTGATCAGTTTCTGATCGATTATCTGACAGTTAGCATTAGCTCACAGAACCCTTTAGACCCTGGTTCCCTCTGGACTAATCGATCTGGCTGGTGGGATGGTACCAATCAGCCTGATCGATTGATTGCTTCTGTTTGTTTTTGGTGCTTTAGCAGGCCTGTTAGCATTAGCATTAGCTCCGGTTCGTACCGCAGAAACAGCCGCCGCCATGCAGCTCCTCCTGTCCGCTTCTCCCCTCCGGTTCTCCGGTTCGCCTCCTCTCTGCTCCTCGCTGCTCTCGGTCTGAAAATGGCCTTTTCCTGTCGAATGATCGTCAGGTAGGAGCACCTGCTCACAGCCGGGAACACAGCAACGCGTCGCCTGAGGTCACTTCCGGTTGAAAGACTTTCACAATAAGACTGAATAAAACCCTGAAGCGGTCGGAGCGCTCACCTGTCACCTGTCCTACCTGAGGCTACATGATGAAAATCACAACAAGCCTCCAGCAAACTGTTCACTTTCACCTTTTATTTCCACAAACTAAAAGTTTGATTTGAAACTTTTTATTCACAGATGTAATTAATGAGTAAAATACTTTTTTAATTATTTACCAAGTTTAAAACACAAACATACAAATATTAATGTCCTAAACTGGATAAATCCAATGTGTTTTATATGTTCTGGTTCTGTTTGATAGTTCTCTGAAATAATAATTATTAGAGTTGTTAAAGCAGAAGCACAGACTTTTATTAAGCAGCTTTAATAATAAAGCAGGACAAACATTTCATCAGTAACATTTTAAATAATTAAACTGATCAACAACAGGAAATGACATCATTACTGCAGCCACAGCCAGGAAACTGAACTCTGATCAGGTTCTGCTTGATTTGATGCCCATCAGGAGAACCAGGCTTCAGACCAGGACCAGTCCACGTTGGAGCGGAGCAGAACTGGTTCTGGTTGTGGATCAGGGACTTTATGAAAGCCTGAAAACTTCTACAAACCCTGTCTGGGTTCTGGAAAGACTCAGAACTTCTGAGGAGGAGAACTTCAGAACCTCTGGACCCCTGAAGAAAACCTAAAGCCCAACGTGTTGGCCCAGTGACGGTTCTGACGGTTCTGATGGTTCTGATGGGTCGGTCCTTGGCTTTTCAGTCTTTGTGGAAAAGAACTTGCTGTGGTGTTCTGAAATGAAGCCAGAACCAGAACTCTGGTACCATTAAAGACAGAACCTAATCAGAACTTTAAAGGTTCTGTTACAGTTTGTGTGTGCAGACTTCGGTTCTGATGGTTCTGTAAAGAGAGTTCTCCAGAGAACACAGACTTCAGAAAGGTTCTGGACCGTGGCAGAGGTGATGAGAACAGAACCCAACAGAACCTTTAAACATTCGTGTCTGGTGTAGAACATCCAGGAGCAGAACTTTCTTCTTGGTTTGGTGACTGTGGTGCAGCAGAACCCAGAACCTCAGCAAAAGGTTCTAGAAGGGCATTTCTCCAGATATCTGGCGGGCCACCTGTTCTTCTGGACTGGACTCTGTGGTCCTCCGGTCCTGGTTCCAGTCCTTCAGACCTTCTGGCAGAGTGGTGTCCTCGTCCTCGCCGCCCGTCCCCTCCACGAACTCCTCGTAGGTGGACTTCTCAGCAAACGGCCGTCTGCCCAGAAGTTCCACCATATCGTTCTTATCCAGAACCTCCTTCTCCAAGAGTCGCTGGGCCACCTGAACCCAAACAGAACCACAGAGAACTGAGTCAGGACTCTGCATCAAAAGGGTCAGAAGGTTCTGACCTGCAGTGAGAAGGTTCTGACCTGCTGTGAGAAGGTTCTGACCTGCAGTGAGAAGGTTCTGACCTACTGTGAGAAGGTTCTGACCTGCTGTGAGAAGGTTCTGACCTGCTGTGAGAAGGTTCTGACCTGCTGTGAGAAGGTTCTGACCCGCTGCGAGAAGGTTCTGACCTGCTGTGAGAAGGTTCTGACCTGCTGTGAGAAGGTTCTGACCCACAGTGAGAAGGTTCTGACCCACTGTGAGAAGGTTCTGACGTGCTGTGAGAAGGTTCTGACCCACAGTGAGAAGGTTCTGACCTACTGTGAGAAGGTTCTGACGTGCTGTGAGAAGGTTCTGACCTACTGTGAGAAGGTTCTGACCCCCAGTGAGAAGGTTCTGACCTACTGTGAGAAGGTTCTGACGTGCTGT